AATCTATTGTATAAATTATTTCTCTGTCTTCCCATATCCTCAATGGAAAATTTCCACAGTCTGCCTACAGGTTTTTTTAATATCCTTAACATACAGAGAGAAATCATGTCTGTATCAAGCTTCCCAGCATGCTAACATCTTACAAAACTATAATAAACTATCACTACTAGGATATTGGTATTGATACGTTCAAGATGCAAAACAGTTCCATCTCCACAAAGATCCCTCATGTTGTCCCTTCATAGCCACATCTTTCTTCCCCTCATCCCTGACTCTTAGCAACCACTAACCTGTTTTCCATTATAATTTTGCCTTTCCAAGAATGTTATATAAATGGAATAATACAGGGTAAAAACTTTGGAAAATCGCTCTTTCTCTCAGTGCAATTTCCTGGAAATTCATCCAAGTTTTTGTCTGTATCAGTAGTTGGTTCATATTTATTGCTGAGTAGTACTATGCCATGGTATGAATGTTTTACAGGCTGCTTAATCATTCACCCATTGGAGATTCAGGTTGTTTCCAGTTTGGGGCTATTATCAAAAAAAGCTGCTATTAACATTCATATATAGCTCCTTGTGTGAGTATAAGTTTATTTATCTGGGATAAATGCCCACAAATGCAACTGCTTAGCCTTATGCCTGTGCTTCCTTTTTCTATTAACATGAGTTGTGTAACTAACTCTACTATCATAAATACCTTTGTTTTGGCTACTTAGAAGCTCAGACACTAAGCTCAAACTTTGCAACAATTTAGGCTTTTTTGCTCTATTTTCGTTATTTTCTTTGAGGCCTTGACTCATTTTATTTTTATTGTTCTAATTTCTAAATTTTTATTTTAATTTATCAACATGTATCATTCTCTGGCATCACTCTTTGAATTCAACAGCAAGCCATATTGATTCAATATAAAACTGTGTCTTGAATCCATCCATTTTCATGTCTATTGCCATTAAAATTACATCTTCTATTTCCAAGATAATTTCAGGAGACACAAAGTGTTCTGAGTGTTTACTCTGACCAATAGCTCCACCTTCCCCTATCAAAACTTCCCCCCAACAACATACACACACCCACATACACGTGCACACCTCTGCAGATATGCTAATCAACAACTAGAAAATATTTTTCAAGTGTAAAACAGATTACATCGCTCTGCTTTTGAAATATACTAGTGGCTTCTCTTTGTACTTAGAATAAGGTTACAACTTCTTGCATGATCTAGCATTCGCCTACTTATCTAACCTCCTTTGTACCACCTTCACCCATCAGCCATACTGCCTCCTCTGATTCTTCAATATGGCCAGGTTTGCTCCACCCTGGGCAGTTTGTACTTCCTGTTGTTCTACATTCCTCTGCTCGAGGTCCTTGCAACTCAACGAGCACCACTAACATCATTAGGGAATCTGTTAAAATGCACAGTCTCAGGTCCTAAGCCACAGGAATTGAATCAGGATCCGCACCTTAGCGAGATCCCCCCAAGATGTGAGTGCACATTAAAGTTTTAGGTTATTCTCTCCAAGAGCTGAAACCAGCTTTCTTTGTTCTTGTTTTCTCCTCTGAACCTCTCTGCTGCTTCTCTGGGCCAGAACGCATTGCATGATCATGTAAAGCCCATCCTTAAAAAACTTCTGCATTCTCTCTGAAGAACCTCCTTGCATGAAAGATAGAACTGTACCATTTTACATTTCATTGTTTTTTCACCTATACACAGACTCAGAGATTCCATGGCAGTGTAACATGCATTCCAATAGCTGGTTACAACACATTGTATTAGGATGTTTAGTTTATAGGAATAATTTTTATATAAATTACATCTTATTTCACATAAAAATGAATGATGCTAACCAGTATCTATGTAGCCATCTACTAAACTATAAGTTCCACTAGGCCAGAGCTAAAATTTTTATCTTATATATCTGACCACCCTCCAAAATAATCTACTACACGGACTCACCTAATTCAGGTCATGTAATTTTTGAAATTCAAAAGCAATTTAAAAAGCTATTACTGCACAGAACAGGTGAAACATGGCTTAAGCATCTGAAGCTCTTAGAAGCAGTACACTTTCAAAAAAAGTGGTAGTAATTCATTGCAAGGGTCACTAAAGGGGGATAAAGAGTTAAAAAAGTAAAGTTAACAAGGCAGACGCAGCTGGCAAAAAGATGACCCTAGAATCGGTAACTTGGCAATGAGTCCTCATACCTCAAAAGCCAGATCCATCCCATGATTCCCCAATCTACACAAAGGAAGAATTAGATAAAGCCAAAAAACGAAGCTCCAATAAAAGAGCTAGGAGGCCATGGGTGGCTAGTTAATGAACATGGAAAATACTTCTTTCCCCAGATGCAGCTCGTGCAGCCATTAGGGAGGCTCACCAAGGAACTCACTACGGGAGGAAAATGTAACTGGTTACCTGAGGTCATGGTAACTCCTAGGATGAAAAGTATAATGAGTCAGATAGTTGAGACATGCCCCCTGCACACAATGAACAACCCCAACACTGTACCCTCCGGAGGCCCCCCGGTAAGGTCCATTGAGACCAGAAGGACATATCCTATAGAAGACTGGCAGATTGATTTCACAGTCATGACGAGTACAGGGCAATTTCAGGTATCTCCTGGTGTTAGCAGACACAATTTCTGGGTAGAAAGAAGCACTCTGAAGCTGTAGTGGCTAGGGCATTACTAAGAGATAATCCCCAGGTTTGGGCTCCCAGGATCCCAATAAAGTGATAATGGTCTGGCATTTGTGTCTCAAGTTAGGAAGGGGATTAGGAGTGCCATAGGCATAGAATGGACCTTGCTTGCACTCAGCCTGGAGACTCCAATCAGCAAGGAAAGTAGAGAGACCCAATCAGACCTTGAAACAGTCAAGCTGTGTCAGGAAACTCAAGAAAATTGGATTAAGCTGCTTCCAATTGCCCTGCTCAGCATGGCGTTGGCTCCAATGGATAGGTTAAAGTGAAGGGTATTTGTACGTATGAATGTAGACCCATTCCCCAAATCAAAGAGAAGAGATACCTTAACTCCCTTGAAATGGAACAACTCAAGTCTGCCCTCCAGGTGGAATAAATCATGAACGCTTTCATGGAATACAGTGACCAGGTGCTGCCTGCCCACACTCATCTGGCCCTCCACCACTTTTGGCTGGGAAACTGGGTATATCTAAAACCCTGGAAAACCAGCCGCCCACAAGACTAGTTCACTCCTACGTGGGATGGACCCCACTCTGTAATCCCAAACACTCATCTGCCCTGAAGCTGCAGATGTTCTATCCATGGGGGCGTCACACTGGAGGGAAGAAGCCCCCAGCCTCAAACTCGAGAGAGACAACCTAAGCAACGGCCCCTTTTGACTACTTGTATGACCCCCTCTCTGACCTGAAGCCGCTCTCCAAAAAACACCCAAAGCAGGGCCAGCAGTGAGCCTAGACGTCAGGGCACAATTTTGTCCACAGGCCAAAGACCAAGACACCTTCATTTGTAGGAAAAATTTGACAGGTGATCATTAATCTCTTGCCAATATTTGGGCCAGGCATCCTAAATTGTCTCGTGTCCTTTGTCTCCAAAAGGTTAGACAATGACGGTTACTCAGGGATACAAACAGCGAGGGCTGAGGCCTGCTGACAACCAAACACAACTAAAGGCAGCTGGGAGAAGTTCTGCTCCCCAGCTCGGGGTTACGAAGACGCCCGGCATCAGCAGGAAGTAGTTCCAGAAGACAGACCGGCACCCCTCAGTGCCCCACAAGAATAAGGAGCAGGACAAGAGGCACAGGAGGCGTCTGTCACCAACAAAGCCCATTCACAATTTCTGGGAAATAAAAACAGAATCTGCATAATAAAAGCCAAGTCTTACCTTTTCCGCTTGCTCAGAGGAGGTCGCACAGGGAGGCCTCGTCCTCAGTACTTCAGGCCTGCGTTTCTCGGAAACAGCTGTCCCGACAGCTCAGCTCAGAGACTGCTTCTGGAAGCACAGCCTGCCGAACTCAACCCAAGATGGCGGGGGCGGCGGCGGCGGGCCGTGTGCAGAGACGTTGCCCCGGGAGCCCACAGCAACAAGCCTGCACAGCCTCGCGAGAGCCCCGCCCCTCCCCGCTAGGAGATCCCTATAGAGCCGCCCCACCCACAGCCTTCTCGCGAGACCTTGCGCTCTAGAGCGGGAGCTCACACCTCTCCACTCTCTCACAGAGGATAAAGCTTTCCTTCGCTTCTGAATTGAACTCAGTCTCGTTCTACCGGTGTGAGTGACACCAGGCAGGAGGACCCTTATTGGGGATGGACTCAGTAACAGTATATCCAAAAAATATTATCTTTTAAACATGTAATAGCATAAAAGCTATTGAGTTACTTTACATGTTTTTTTTGTCGTTCAAATCTTTGAAGTTCATAAGGCATATTATACTTACAGTGCATCTCAAATCAAACTAGTCACATTTCAAAATGCTCAGTGGCTACAAGATAGCTAGTGGTTACAGTACGGGGCAGCACAGGTCTAGAATATAATTTTTTTAATCTGATGTAAGTGTCAAATCTCAATTGCCCCTTTTTGAAGAAAGAAGCTATTAACACAGAAGTGACAGAAAGAGCACTGAATCATGAGTCAGAATATTTTGTTTCAATGCCAGCTCTAAGTGTATTTATACAACGGAATACTACTCTGCCGTAAAAAAAGAATAAAATAACGTCATTTGCAGCAACATGGATGGACCTGGAGATCTTCATTCTAAGTGAAGTAAACCAGAAAGAGAAAGAATACCATATATCACTTACATGTGGAATCTTATGAAAAAGAAGCAAATGAACTTATTTACAAAACAGAAACAGACTCATAGACATAGAAAACAAACTTATGGTTATCATGGTGGGGAACGGGCTGGGAAGGGATAAATTGGGAGTTCGAGATTTTCAGATACTAACTGATACATATATAAAATACATAAACAACAAGCTCATACTGTATAGCACAGGGAACTATATTTAATATCTTATAGTAACTTATAGTGAAAAAGAATATGAAAATGAATATATGTATTCAAAAAAAAGAGGCACTGGGGAATCATGGTCTAGGTCTGTACACTGCAGATTGTTACAAAGTATTAATTTAATCTTTTGAGTGACATGATTATGTTTGTATATAATTCTGCCTGCACAGAGTTCTCTGGAGCCTTTCATACAGAGTTATTTTGATTTGGTCCCCATAAAAAGTACTTTGAGAGTTGTCAAAAAAAAAGTATATAGTATTCTAAATCTTTGTGATGTATAGAGTTAACAATACAGCAAGTATTAGGTGTATGGTAATATTTATTATATTAATAACAAATTTTTTAAATGATGAGAATAAATTAGAAGCTCACCAGGATAAAAAAAAATTTTTTTAAGCTTCTGGATCTTCTTATAGACCCTGATCCAGTCACAGTCATTTGCATAATGCCAAACATAGACAATATGATTGGATATACACACAGCACATACCCACATGCTGTTTCCATTAAGACGAATGTACACCTGAAAGATAAGTCGTCAGATCACAGAGCCCAGGTTACACGACGGCCTTGGACTTGAGTTCTGCTTGGAGAATCTTTGGCCTGTGTGACGTGCACATGGACAATACTGCGAGGCACTGCAGCATCCGCTGGTAATGCAAGATCTTTGACAGAAGCCCCAGACTGTTCCATAACCTGACCTTCCTGGGCAGATTCAGGGATGATGGTGAGGCTGGCAGAGCTATTCATGGACTGCTTGTGCTGTAGGAAAGAGAGGAATCCTGGGGGAAAGAGAAGCCAAGGGAGTGTCATAAAGGAACAATGAAAAGTCACAGAAACATTTCCCTTTTGTATCGGCAGAGAGACCCTGATCCAAAGCCCAGTGGTTCCCTTGGAACTGCCCCCAAGCCGTTCAGGAGGGGGAGGCTTTGGCAGAAGAGACTGGACTGTATGCAGAATAGCTCAAATGCTGCTCAACTCAACAAAATTGAGAGTTTTTTTTTTTTTTGAAAGAGGACATGCTTCTGAGCTAGGAACTACAATTCCAAATGAAATTTTAAAGACTTCTTAGAAAAGGAGAGCCTCCAGTGTCGGCAGGCGGTCACTGAGCTCTAGGTATTGCTCCTCTCTGAACCTCGGGCTGCACTGACGAGAACACTGCACCCCCTGGGTCACTGCCCTCTCCAAGTAAGTGAACATTTTTCCTTTCAGCCACTCTCCATCAGGATGTTAACGGTCATCCCTGCCCCGAAGTGGGGAGGGTGTGAAAGAAAGTAGAAAAGGAGGAAATGAGGAGCTCCCTCTGAGGCAAGCATGTTGAACATCTCACTCAGCCCTCATATCCAACACTATCCTTGTAGGAAGTGTTCTTGGAATGTGACTCCACCAAATGTTAGCCGTTTAAAATGCAAGGGTTGGCACCTTTCCCCCTGTTCCCTTTCCCATCCTTTCACTCTCCCCTCTATCAGGCATGGATTGGTTTTCATCACCCATCAGGGGCCCTGAAGACACTCACCAGAGGCAATAAAGAAGAAAATAGTGGAGTAGGCAATGAAGAAGTTCCAGGTGACTCTGTAACTATAGTGATACACAGATTCAGCTTGCCTTAGGTGGTGTTGATACAGCACCAGTGCAGAGAGCAGAAGGGCACCTGATGTCCAGACAAAATGTAAGAAAAAAATCTCTTCTCAGGAACTCTGGCTCTTCTGCTCAAGTCTTAGCCCAAGGTATGCCTGACTTCCAAACCCCGACCCTGCACAACTGCACCTTACTCAAAGGCCAATCCCACTTCAGTGGTAGATCCAACTCAGAAGCTGCATATCGAAGCCAAAGAACTAAGAAGGCTGAGTTAGTCAGAGACAACAGCCTGGACCCACAAACCAAGCATGCCTCCAAGTCTGTGTTAGGGAAGACAGGGAAGTTACCTGTGAAGAAACTGAGGGAGGCAGTCATGAAGAGGATATGTTTAGTTTGAGGAATCATATAGGTGAATTCCAAACCCAGGAGCAGGTTATGAAGCAAGGAAAGGCTGAAGACCAAAAGCATCATGTCCCTGACCACCTTCAGGCCACCTGTTGGAAAGCAGAAGTTATATTGAGAGAAGGACAGATATTTCTTCTGGGTTCATTGCCCCCCTGGGGCCCACAAATCCCTAGGTAAAAATGGGAATGAGGTGGGAGATTTGATTAAATAATTAAGGCTTAGAGATTTGAAGCTAAGTGGGAGAGAGAACCAAAATGAAACTGTTCTCTCTCCTGATGTCTCTGTAAGCGTCTTTCTATTTTCTCAGAATTGATTTCTTGCTAGGTACTCCAGCTCAGTGGCAATATAACCTGTTTTCCCCATTGCCAGTCACCTTTCATTCATACCCTCACGTGCTAGACGTGCTGGCCATCCTGCTGCTACTGCCAAGGATTCTCAGAGGTCCAGCAACTAAGAATGTGAGACGCTAAACTTTTCTCCAAAAGATGCAAATGGTGAGCTTTGGCATCGACCTTGACCGTGCTGATTATGGAAGAGGGCTCCCTGCGACCAGAAGTTATTTGCACTAGCAAATAACGGTGAGATGAATGGAAGTCAAGGAAGGACGAACTCTCCCCCTCCGCCCACCTCTTTTCCATAGTATAGCTCTGACCTTCTGGCCAATCAGTAGTGCAACATATCCACGGGCTGTGGGGTAGGCTAGGCTTTTCTGGCCCCAACTTCAGTTCAACCCACTGTTCTAAGATGATTCCTATCACCAAGAAGACCAAGGCCCACGAGGAGAATAACATGTTGGTGGCCTGAACATTTCTGATTTGCGCCATTGTGACTGGGGATTTCAAGCTGACCACCACCAATGTCTCACATGCCTCTTCTCTTTTGATGTGATTAGTCACAGGAAGTCGGGCAAAATCTCGACTTTCAGTATTGCGGGGGGATTGGCAGTGAGAAGCTAAAGTGGCGTACAGAGAAGATCAGTCCCATTTTCCACTCCTCTACCTGGGCTGGCCTGCTGTCGAGGCTGCCAACTGCCATGGAATCATCTACCGTTTGACCCTTGACCCTGAGACTTAGTGCACTGGAAGCACCAAGGGGCCCAGAGATCTGCAAGAGCTATCAGATATACAGGGAGATATGACACCACATACAGAGAGAGCTATCAGATACAGGAATAACCAGGGGCCTTAAAAGAAGTTAGACATGCATGACTAAAGAAGTTAGAATTTTATGTTCCAGGATTAATGGACGTTAGATAAGGAACAGTGAAATGCAGAAGGAATTCAAGATCACTGACATGAGAACTCAGGTAGCTAGCATCACAAAAGAAAATGACTGCTTAAAATCTGGGATGTTTTGGAGAAACTAAGTATGTTTAACTATTTAAACTTACAGTTTAACTAACTAGGAAGGCATCTAGGAAATAGACCAGTGCTTTGAAACCAAAAGAACTGGCCTGATACACTGAACCATTGAAGTCCAATATCATTTATAAGGCACAGACAATTATTTCTTGTCAGAATTGCCTTTGTAACAGCAGAGAAAACATTTTCAGTTTCCTTGAATAAGCAACCATGCTGTGCACTAAGCTCAGAGTCAGAGGATTTGTACTAAAATTTAAAAAAAAAAAACACCACTTTTACTGGCCTAAGATGACAGTCACCTCCAAAAGCCTCCCTCTGCCTATGTCCTTGACCTCACTGCAGGCCGCTTTCCACGGGTCAGACTGGATTTCTTTCATGGCCTCAAACACACTATGCTGTCTGTCTTCCAGACATCTTTACACATCTTGTTATATTTTATTTATCTATTTAATTATTTAAATGATGCTCAATACATTTAATTTTATATCTATACTATGCCAGGGAGATTTTGTAATTAAGAAAATGGACTCAGAAGTCTGGCTTTAAATTCTGGCTCTACCATGTTTGTGGTCGTAGAGGTAAAAATGCATCCTACTAGTTAACGATTTTGTAAAGGTTAAATGAGTTTAGAGATGTAAGGCCCTTAAAAGAGCCCCTGGCACATAAATAATACATAAGCAATTACCATAGTATTAACTTGGAGTCTCTGGGAAAGAGATTCTGAGGCAGAGATCTGTAGGTGGGGAGTATATTGGGGAGTGCATCCAAGAATCACAGCTGCAAGTGTTTGAAGGAAGCAGGTTTGAGCAGAAATCGAACTGAGTTGTGGTTGCAACAGAAGAAACAATAGCCAACCCTACCAGGAACCCGGATCTGGGGACCAGAGTCATCCTGAATGGAGCAGGAGACCTCAGTCTGCCGTGAAATACTGGCTTCCCTTCTGTCTCGAGGGCACCTATACACTATCTGTCAGGACCCGCAAGCCTCAGTAGTCAATACTTCTGGTCGCTGTGGGAATGAGCTCCCACACTTCACCACTCCTATATCAGAGCCAGCATGCTGTTGGGGCTGCCATCTGCTGAGGGATCATCTTTCAGGTTGACTCTTGACCCTTGGGGCCTAGTATAGTGGAAGGACCGGGAGGGGGACGAGCAGCACACCATGGCAACTGATATGATTATGCCCTTATATAGTGAAGATTTTATTTCTATGCAATATATCCTTAAGAGAGGGTTCCTGGGCTGAAAGATTTATGTCTCCTTTAAAATTTTAATAGACAATGGCATTAAAGATATAAAGATAATGCCAGATTAGAGAAAATGATAGGGTGAGAGATTAGTGAGATCCAGGTCAAAGAAATCTTATGAACAGCTAGGGAGAACAGTAGTCAATGATGCCATTAAGTAAGATGTAGAACATGGGAGCAACATGGTTTTGGTTAAGTTTAAGGTGCCTACAGGGTATACAATAGACAGAATGTAGTTCTGGATTTTGATAACAGATTGGAGGTTATCAGCCTAGGGATGGCAGTTGAAGCACAGAGGTACATATCACCATGTGCGGACATCACATGGAATGTGACAAGAGGTAGAGAAGGAAATTCTAGAGAACATCACCATTTATGAGAAAGAGCAAAGAAGGAGTGAGTGGTCAGCGTAAGGTAGAGAAATAAAAATGTTGCTGAGGAATTTAAAAGAGGCTAAAACTATATACAATAGCCAAGACATGGAAACAACCTAAATGTCCATTGACAGAGGACTGGATAATGAAGCTGTGGTATATTTATACAATGGAATACTACTCGGCCATAAAAAAGAATAAAATAATGCTATTTGCAGCAACATGGATGGACCTGGAGATCGTCATTCTAAGTAAGCCAGAAAGAGAAAGAAAAATACCAGTAGGGTCCACAAAACAGATTACAACATAAATCAGGAATCATGTCAGTCTTAGGGTAGATAACTAACCACTAAAGATCCAGAGATAATTTTAAAAACTAGAATTCATTTGGGACTGTGTACACCTCTACAAATATTTCCCACCTGAATGTATCTTGGAAAGTAGGAACTATAATATTGTAGCATTCACAATCGTTAACATTCACTGGTAAATAACTGAACATAGTCCCATCTGGGGCAATTAAAACTTTTCCTAAATACCAGGAGCTCTGGGGACCAAAAAAGAAAACGGAATAATTATTCACCTAAATCAGTGTCTATGTCACTTATCAGCTTGATTAGGTACCTCTGTGATCCAAACAGTAATTTCAAGAACAAGAAAATCTTCTGTGCCTCTGTCTCCCTGGGCTGGGATTTCATGGGCAAGTCTGGTACGGTTCTATCCTTCATCCAAGGCGGTTCTTTCTGAGAAGATGGTTTTAAGGATGCGCTTTACATGATCGTGAAATGCTTTCTGGCACAGAGAAGCAGAGAGAGGTTCAGAGGAGAAAACAAGAACAAAGAAAGATGATTTCAGCTTTAGGAGAGAATAACCTAAAATAGGGCCTCTCAGACATCAACGTGCACACACATCATGTGGGGATTTTGCTAAGATGGGGATCCTGATTCAATTCCTATAGCTTAGGAACTGAGATCATGGATTTTAACAAATCCCCAAATGATGTTAGTGATGCTGCTCATTGAGTCACAAGGACACAGAGCACAGGGATATTTGGGAAGTGGGAAAGACAGCACAGAGAAACCTAGCTGGCTTGAGCAGAGGGAAGACAGGGCAGGGAGCGCACTGGAACAGAACAAGGATGTGGGCAGGATGGAAGGCATTTTACTGCGACAGAGAGCCCAGCAGGAATCAGGAGAAATGTGGGAGAGTTAGACACGTGAGGAGTGGTTAGTGAGTTTGTGATACTCAGAACAGTTTGAAGGCATGCATGAAAAGACATTAAAGGCAAAAAATAGTACATGTGTCTTCCTGAACCTTCCTTTCACGTTTCTCTGTGTAGTCTCTGTGGCTAGACTAGACCTGTGCAAGGGATGAAGGCAAAGGAGGACTCAAGGGTATTTTAGCAACAGGCTAAGGGTAAATGGATAGTGCCTCATTTGCACTATCTCCATCCCTCAGGACAGGAGAAGAAGCACAGATGCAAATGTCACGCGTTCTGTAGAATTTGGAAACCTGCTCAGAGAGCAGCTGTTCAGTGTTAGAAAGCTTCTTTGTTTTAAACTGATTTGGGAAATCCAGAGAAGGCTCCTGCAACCTTGAGAATGCAAGTGGCCAAAGGAAGGGTGCCGTGTTCTAATACAGCTTTAATAGATTGCAAGTAAGAAGATACGAAGAGTTTCTTGAAGAGACAGAGAGAAAAGTAGATCCTTTGCTGGCAGGTTGAGAAAATGCTAAACCAGATGTCTAAGCAGCACCCTGCAGAATCTCTGGATAAACATAAGAGTATATGGATGGCTCTGTGTGCAGCCCAACAGCAAAAGAAAAATGGTATGATTTTTCAGAGATAAAGCCTTGGTGGACCCCAGAACAGGCAATTCCAAGGCATGTGTCCCCTTTGCCCCTCCCTGGGAGAAGCGTGGGTAGAGACAGGAAGTACTGCATGGGAGCCTCCGGTGGAAACACACAGAACCCGGTGGTTTGCACAACCCAAGCAGCAGCACTGGCAGTAGTGTATGAAGTCATGCTCAGTGGCCTTGGTGAGAGAAGCAGGCTTGGCTCAGAGGATGACCAGAGACAGAGTTTTGAGATCACTGCCATTCTATCATCGTCCAGTTTTACTGAAGTGTTAGAAGAATAAGCATCCCACCTGGAAGTCAGTTCACGATTCGATTACAACAGAACAACGCAAATGAAAGTTCAATTTCCTGAAAAAAAATTATGAAAACAAATATATGTATGTATATGCTTGATTGGGACATTGTGCTGTACACCAGAAACGGATACATTGTAACTGGCTGTACTTCAA